TTTTTTTCGGTTTTTCACCTTCAAGATTGTAATTTTTCTAGCCAATTTGGACTCAAAATCGACACTGAAGAATTAACTATCAAACAAAAAAAAATTCATCGAAATCGGATGAAAACTGTGGAAACGCATAAACAGCATCCGTTCACACACACACGCAAACACATACATACATACATACATACATACATACACACGCACATACGCACACACATATTTTGAGAATTATAAATATAGATAATAGTTGCACGAAAATATTTGTCAATTTTATATCAATCGCTTTCTGAATGATGTTCTCAAATACATGACGCACCATGTGTATGCCACTGGAATATAATAGATTGTTCAGAAAATAATGGCCGATTTTAGAATGGACCTTTTAATTGTGTTCTGATATATCATTATAATAGTTGCACGAAAATATTTTATTCATTCTTAATGATTAAAATGTCCTCTTTGTCAATTTTATATCAATCGCTTTCTGAATGATGTTCTCAAATACCTGACGCACGATGTGTATACCACTGGAATATAATAGATTGTTCAGAAAATAATGGCCGATTTTAGAATGGACCTTTTAATTGTGTTCTGATATATCATTATAATAGTTGCACGAAAATGTTTTACTCATTCTTAATGATTAAAATGTCCTCTTTGTCAATTTTATATCAATCGCTTTCAGAATTTAACTTAAAACATGATATACCCGACATCTTGAATATGAAACAAGAAGAGATGCGTTTACCTCTTTTGCATGAGTTCAAGGTTGGTCCTAATGCTTCTCATATTGCTGCCAACATTAACAGAGCATGGGGTGATGGATCCACTTGTGATTGGACAGTATGGTGCTGGTTTCAAATAAATTCCGCAGTGTGGAATACGAGTCTTGAAGATCAAGGGCGTAGAGGATTTCCATCTGCAATTAACAAGCAACATCTAGTCGAAGAAAATCCACGTCAAAGTGTCAGAGAAATATCTGAGATAATGGATTAAGTTTTTTTTTCATTTATTTTTTTTTTCTGTAGTTTCGGACATTTTTCCTGGTTTCCAGTGGAAGCTTAAATATACATTGTTCTATGTCTGACTACTTAGGCTTCCATAAGCCATTATCAAAGAGTTGTTGTTGTTTTGCACTATGTCAGCGCCCTCGTTTTTCTAATATCTCGTCTTTACGTGTCATCTCGTTTTTTTTAAGTATCGTGTTTCGTCTTGACCTGTCATTATTCTTTTGTTGTTTATGAAATATATTTAGTATCTTTCTTTCTAAATTTGATAACATTTTTTACGTTCATTTAGTGTTTATGGTTATTGTTTCTAAAATTTGCAATCGTTTTTTTTTTATATCTGATATAATATATTTGTGTCATGAGTAGGAATGTATCGCATTTCGTGTGGTTTATTGTTATGTTTGTTGGTGATATTACCAAACTTCTTTCTTTAGTCTTTATCCAAAGATTCTTTCACTAAATGTGACTATGCGTCTGTGTGTACTGGCTTCCCTTCTTTCTTTTTATGTACCGTGGCCTTTCAGGACGTAGGCGATAATGACCCTCCACTTCCCCATATCCCTTGTGGCTCTCAACAGGTTTTGTGTTTCTGCCAACTCCCCCATACCACGCTCCGCCATCCACCTGCCCAAGCCCGTCACGTATGTCATTCTCTGTTTTCCCGTCTCTTTTTCCCTCTATTTGTTTCGCGAATATCACATTCTCCAAGCCCTCCTTTCTCATCTTTCCTACTGTTTCTAAATAGGTATGCAGTATTTTTTAAATGAGCCATACATACTGTTGTAACCTAGAAAAAGTTATATGTGTGTGTGTGTGTGTGTGTGTGTGTGTGTGTGTGTGTGTGTGTGTGTGTGTGTGTGAAAAGTATATATATATATATATATATATATATATATATATATATATATATATATATAATTTATTTCACTAGGGTCCTTTTAAAGGACGCTGATCATCAGATAGCACTTCCAAAAAATGAAATGAAACGAAAAATGAAATTAAAATTGATGGGTAGTATACTTTATATTGGGGGAGGAGAAAACGAAAAATGAAAGGACTCTGGTGAAATAAATATATAAAGTATACTTGAGAGAGAGATAATGAAATTAATCCCTCCCTATACTCTACCATGTCTCTTTAACTATCCCTCTTACACTCTCTGTTAAATTACAAAGACTTACACTACCCATCAATTTTCATTTCATTTTTCGTTTCATTTCATTTTTGGAAGTGCTATCGGATGATCCGGCGTCCTTTAAAAGGACCCTGGTGAAATAAATAATCCTCCTTGGGATTACCCATACGGATTACCAAGTTCTTCATAACTTAATTATATATATATATGTCATATATTATTATTTATATATTATATGCGCGGTACTTATTAGAAAGCGCTGAATATCAGAGATAAAGCTAACTTATTTGGTTGGATTGATGTGAGTTTGTGACCCTGGGTTTCACGCTTTTGGGATCGCAAAAGCGTGAAACCCAGGGTC